ACATTCCATCATCATCTTTTTCTTCACTGATCAGACAAGCACCTCCTCCTATCTATCCTCTCTCTTATCCCTGGCTCATGTTTTGGAGACGCAAGCCAAAGACCAAAAAAACCGTACCCAGCAAGCCCAGTGATCAAGATCACGGATCGGTCAGTTGCCCTCCCCGCCCCTCTGTTACAGACTTCCACACTTCGGAAGCAACTCCACTTCAACACTGCTCGGCTTTTATCCAAGCTCCGACTTGTGGGCCCTAATTACGTCAAGTTATCATATTCAAACAGCTTTGAAAACACTACTCTTACATACTCCCCTCGCCTCGGGGATCGATCTGGGTTGTTTTACGTTCTATCTATCACACCCCCTCTAGTTTATCTAGGCTAGCTAAAACTAAAACTAAACAAAAACAAAACTATTGGTCTTTTTTGAACAAGCCGTCTCTGTACCCATATCAGAATTTTACTGTCGGCTCAAAAAAGCCCACTCGGCCTGTCAAGTTACAGTGTATCTCCTTGTCGTTGAGGCAACTTCAGCCCGCCCATCCACACTGGGCGCTTGAAAAAATTCACAGGGGGCATATCCCCTTTGTCCGGCCAACGAGTTGGTTAGCTATATGTAATAGATATCAACCAATTCTTTGCCCCCATTGTTGCTACATAAATATTTACATCCCAGCGGACAAATGAATCATCATGCTTCGAATTTAAACTAGCCTATACTTAGTCTCGGTGCTGACAAACCAATTTGATATATCTTCCTCAACAGCTGCGTACAACCTATCCCGCCATATTCAAGGACTTGTCCCCTCCATCTATCCTCGCCAGCCCCATGCTCGACATCAACAAGTCCAATTCCAACCTTCGCTTCGGTCGTTCGCCACGCTCCTCGACCCCAGCCATGTCATCCACCTCTACCCTCATGCCTGCCTCCGCACCCAAGCCCAAGTCGAGCAAAAAGCACATGTTCCAGTCGATCTCTCGAACCCTCTCCCCAGCCTTATCCAAATCTACCTCCCGCAAGCATCGCTCGCTCAATCCAACTTTAGCCCTACCCACCCCTCCTCAGTCTCCGAATAGAGCCGGCGAAGACTCAATGACACGCACTTCCAGTGAACCCAGTGATGAAGACGACTTTGTGGAAGTCAAACTCTCAGAATCTGAAAAACAATACGTCAGCCAAATCGAAGTAGGTAACGAACGTCATGAGAGCCAACTCGGTCACTACCTCACCAACCTAGCCCAACGTCCACTCTCATCCTCCCGTCGAGAATCAATACAGATCGCTGGTGGCAAACGAATGTCTAAGCTGATGAGAGATGCCAAGGAATGGCAAACGTTCTTCAAGATCGGCAAGGATGACTTTGAACGCGAGCGGAAACTGCCGAAACGAGACTCCCACTCACTTGCTTCAAGCTTAAAAGGTCATCCATCGGCTTCAGTTGTTACTGGAAAGTCGGCCAGCAATCAAGAAGTGGAGAATGATTCCTTATCAGTTGCCACCCCTCATCCCGCCGTCATGAAACGCGTCAAGTCTGATCAAATCGTCTACAATCAAGAAGACAGCCCTCCTCTGGTCGATCCAACCCCGATCGAAGAAGGTTCTCCTCCAATCCCCTTGAGCCCTACCATCGAAGAATCATCGAGCGTTCGCTCCCGCAAATCGTTAGAGGAGGAGCTAGGCCTGAGCGCTGCCGACGCTGATGCGATCAATCAGCTCACTAGAACCTTCGACGATGATCCCTCACCAAGCCTGACAAAAGAGCCTCCTTCGGCAATCACCTCACCACCCGAATCACTCACGACCGGCTCCCCATTGATGGACGATCCGGCAGTCAGCTCGGTGCCAGTCTCGGTTGTGCCTTCCGAACTGGCAGAGAGTCCAGCAGTCGTACCCGCACCTACTACTTCGACCAGCAGCCCGGTCCAACGACGTCGTCACAAGGTGACAGTCGAAGACTTTGAAATCATGAGAGTGCTTGGTAAAGGCTGTGCTGGGAAGGTGCTTATGGTCAAATACCGCAGGACTGGTGGTAATCATCCTAATCAAGTCTATGCTATGAAGAGCATCAAGAAGAATCACGTCTTGTCTCACAGGGAGCTACAACACACCCTGACCGAACAGAGCGTCTTGAGACGTGTTGCCGATGAGCCTGATAGCAATCCATTCATTGTCAGGTTATGGTGGAGTTTTCACGTCAGTCCCGCTAGCACAGCTATTTTGATCATTTTGTATGTTTGAGATGATGATGATCTAACGACTCGATTTTTGATTCACCACAGGACAAGGACCATTTATTCTTGGTGATGGATTTCCATCCAGGAGGTGATCTGGCGACCCAATTAGCACGCTGGGGTCGACTAGGCCGAGACCGAGCCAGGTTCTATGCGGCCGAGATCACTGAGGGGGTCACCTCACTTCATCGATCAGGAGTGATCTATCGAGATCTGAAGCCCGAGAACATCTTAATCGCCTTCGATGGTCACATCGTCTTGACGGACTTTGGTCTCAGTAAGCAGTTCGGACGCGATGCTGACGGCCAACGGATCTCTGATGAGGAAGAGGAACGCACCCTGACTTTCTGTGGAACTGCCGAGTATCTCGCCCCCGAGGTCTTACTCGGTGAGCCATACAGCTATGAGGTCGATTGGTGGTCCTTTGGGACGATGCTGTCAGTTTCCCCCTGTTTTTTCTTTGTATCCCTCATCACCTTTCCCCGCATCACTGCCAGACTTCAGCTCACCCGCGTTGCAATTCGTGTTGATACAGTTATGAGATGTTGACCGGCTTGACGCCCTTCTGGTCTGAGGATCACGCCACAATGTATCGGAGAGTGCTCCACGACGAACTCATGTTCTCCGAAGACTCGAACAGAGTCATGGACCATGATACTAAGACCCTGTTACGTGGCGTGAGTGTTCTCTCTCTCTCTCTCTCTTCTTTCCACACAACTGCGCCCCCCCCCCTTTTTTACTGAAATGCGCTCCTTAGCTTTTGCAACGCAATCCGGCGGTCAGGATGACGGGTGAAAGAATCAAGAAACATCCTTACTTTGGGATGATCGATTGGGATCAGTTGAGTTCTCTCCTTAGACTACCCAGCCACTTCTTAGATCCCCTCACTCATCGAAGTGCCTGTTTTACAATCTTAGTGTTCAGCATAAGCGATACATCCCCCCATATGTCCCAGCTGTGAATCCCAATGATGCGACGGACACTCAGAACTTTGATGAGACGTTCTTGGCGATGGAGCCGACATATGTGCAAGATGACGACCCGCCCCATCCGAGTGCTGAAGAGAAGAAGAATGAAGAGAGCGAGGAAGGGGCTGGAGAAGATGGGGATGATCCGGATGGAGGCAAGGTCGAGCCTCAAGGGGCGGTGGATGAGAACGGGCAGGATGTATTTGATGGGTACAGTTACCTTGCGCCGAGTCATGAACGAGACTCGATCATCCTCGAAGACGAGGAGGATGCGAGTAGCGTTGGATGCGACCCTGACGCCGATGACGCCGCTCCGCCGCAGTCGGCCTCCGAGGCCACCGATCCAGTTCCCTCGGCCCTCCAGAGCCCGTCTAAGGACAAGCCTCCCTCTTCTCACCCCGCTACCACCATCGTTGTCAATGAGAGCGAGGAACCTGATCTGCCTGCCTCGAACGATGAAGATGAGGCGGAGGAAGACTGGGACGTGGTGGTGACCCCGGAGAACGGCCAATCGGACTTGAACGGTCGGCTTGGCAAGAAGCCTGGGAACACTCTCTTTGCGTCAGTCTTATTCTGTATAGAAGTCTTGATACTGTAACTCACCCATTGAATATTGTTGGATTTTTTTTTTATAATTATCTTGGTATATGTGGTGATATAGTCGGGGAGTCGTGGACAAGTACAAGTTGAGGATGCGTAAGTTGAACGAGAGTTCGACAGGAACACCTTCGCTTCAAGCCAGCTCGTTGCGCCCATTTGGGAGCAGCAAGTCGAGTTTCATTAAGGCAGCCCAAAGCCAATTCAACACGCTCGGCAACCAGTCGACGATCTCGTCGATCAACCAAGCCTCCTCTGAGGCCTCTGAGCCCCCCTCTTCAGTGATGGGCGGGGGGAATGGCAAAGCCAAGAAACGGTTCGGACTTCGTTCGTCTAAGAAGCCGGGCTACTCGTGTCTCCCCTCATCCTCCGTCCTCGGCGACTTCTTGCCCTCCTCTCCGGTCCATAACTCGGCTGCTTATCTGACTTCCCCCTCCGCTTCCCCCTCCCCTTCTAAGAAAACCCTCCATCCGGTAGGCCTTCGGGCGATCGAATTGGCCAACGTTGGCGCCCAGTTCTTGAAGAAAAACTCGGCTAATCATCAGATCCTGCTCAATAATAACACTCCTCATCATGATCATCCAACTCCATCAGACGTCGAGTCGCCTCTTTCCCCTAACACCATTCAATCGTCTCCTCTCCCAACTACTACTACTACTCCTGCTGCTGCTCCTGATGATGATCTTTCTTCTCCCACTACTGCTGCTACTAACAATCTCTCCATGGACGATCCTGCTCCCATCCCGGGCGAAAACACTATCAATCCGAAGAAGAAACAATCGATCGGCGCCGGTCATATTTGATTTCTTTGATTTCCTTCTCCTCCTCCTCCTCCTCCTCCAGATCTTCCTCTAGATCTTCCGCTCTATCAGTGCTTCTTTTGCTTTGGCTCGTTGGCATCCGATCTCCTTATATGTTTCCTTTTTCTTTCTTTTTTGAGCTTTCGCTCCCTCGTTCGTTCGTCCTTTGGCTTGCTCCGCTTCATCTGTGTACATATATTTATTTATATTCATGCTTTCTTTTGGCTTCCTCTCCCATCCCTCACATCCCTTGTTCAAGTTTTTTTTTTTTTTTTTCTGATAGGTATTTTCTTTAATTGCTTTGTCTTTTAATCTTTAGCTTTCTGGCTTCAAAAATATCTTCACGTACACAGACATATTAATAAACAAATAAATAATTGATGTTTATTAAACAAATTTTATATATATATTTATTATGGTTTGGTATACTTTGATAATTCATTCATTTCATTCTTTATCTTTTCTGTTTGGTCTTCAAACATGAAAAAAAAAAATCTGGAATCTGGATCAAGATCAAGATCTAGAAATTTGCAACACCAAACCAAACCGAAAAAAATCAAATTATATTGGACTTAGATGGGTGGACTTTCCGCGTATGAAATGGACCACTACTAATGCTTCAACAAATCCTATAACACAACTAATCAGCTGTTGGTTTTTTCTTTGGGGGGGTAGGGGGGGATGGTTCGCAGTCCCCAATTGTCGGACACTGGGGTTGGACAAATCCCGGGTTATAGGCTTTCTTTGTCTCTTGCTTGGCTTGGCTTTATTTGTGAAGGCGGACCTACTTCTTGACGAGATTTGATGGTTGGGTTGGTATTCTCCATGTATTCTCTTGGTCTGTCTTTCTTCTCTCTCTCTCTTCCCCCTGCATTGTCGATATCTGGCAGCTATCATTCATCTGGCTGTCCAGCTAGCTTCCCGGCAACTTTCTGGACTTGTTTTGGTACTGTATTTGTTGTGGTCTGAAAAAACCCCTCCTGGATATGGAACTTGGGACTACTTATCGTGGAGAGAGACGGGCTGGGGTTTTTTTTGGGGGGGTTCCTCCTGTGGATTCAAGGGTATAACTTGAACTCACAAGCGGGAGATTTGGTACTGGGATCTGTGCTTGTTCAACTAATGTTCTCTCCCGTCCACCTTTGAGTTATGGATCATCTGCAGATATATCGTTTTGGGGGTGCGTGTATACTGGAATTCAGGGGCCCTCAATGGCACGGGCAATTGGGGCATTCTTTTCTTTTGCTGAACAAAAATTAGGGGGAAAGAGTGTTTTTCTCCTTCTTTCTTTCTTTCTTTGGGCTGATTTAATGCTTAATAAGACGTGTTTTACCAGCCCAGAAGGCCGCTTTGTAACTTGCCTCAGGCTTTGGGAGACGGAGTTCCGTCATGATAAGAATTCTTGTATGCAAGGTTTGCATCTTTGAGCTCTGTTTTTTTTTTTTTCTTGCATTTCTGGCAGCTTGTATGATCCTCAGGCTTCATCCCCAAGGCCCATTTTTGTCTGCATCACTTGCTTATTTACTTGGCTGAAATATTTTTCAGCTTAATATAAATATCTCGGCTCAATTTTTCCAAAACAAATGTTTTCATATAACAGAGAGAAATAAAAAAAGTTTTTTTTTTTTTTTTTTTTTTTTTTTTTGGTGAGTGCACACAGACATTTACTTGGTGATCTGGTGGGTTTGTGATGACATTGATGTTTGAAAATTGAAATGGTCATGGAGACAGAGGGTGGGCAATCCTCTAATTTGAGTTTTGGATACTTAGAATGAGCACCACCAAAAATCAAAAAATTCTCATGGGAGGGTTCTTGGTGCATTTACCCCTGTCAAAGAAGGTCTTATTTAAAACAATTATGGTCGACATTGGAATTGATGTGTTCATGTCAAAAGGCATCATCTCATCATTGTTATTGGGTGTGATCAAGTTGACATGGGTGAAAAGGCTACAAAGGTGAAGAGCTTATCAAGCTCATTCTGAGAAAGACAAAAGAAATGAAAAATAAAATAAGGTCCATGAATTAGTGAGAGACAAAAAAGATTAACAAAGCACAGGAGCTGGTTGGGGAAGAGATTATTGAGTTCCGGCAATCTTAGCATAAGCAGCATCGATGGCTTTAGTGACTTGAGCGGCATCACCAGTTGTCGAGCTAGCGGCGATGGCCTGACAGAAGACGGGGACGAGGAGGGCATTGTCGGGCTTGGGGGTCATAGTCATCAGTTTCTCCCAAGTTTCGTGAAGAGAATGGGCGACGGTCTTGAGGGAAGGAGTTTCTTCCATCGGTGCCATGTTCTTGTTCAAGGGGGTAATAGGCGAGCCAGTGATTGAAGAAGGCTTTCCTTGATTGTAGGGAGCATAGGTGTCAAGGATCGCTTTCGAGACCGCCTCAGGATCGCCCGTCTTTCCGGTAGCACCGGCGGCTTGGCCGACCATCTTCAATAAGACCATCGGCTCGTTCCGTTGGCTTCCAAACTTCTCGTGGAAGTATAGCTCGTTCATCGCGTTGGAGATCGTGTTCAACCCGGGCATCTTCTCTTCGGCTTCCTCCTGCGCTTCCTTCTGTTGTTGAGTCATCTGAGCCGGCGAGCCAGTGGTCGTCATTTGGATCATCATCTTGGTCGGAGTTGCTGAGGTCGCGTTTTTCATTCCATTCGGGTTCGTTGGGGTGGCTTGTCGTCTTGAAAGACTGTGGAATCAGAGGATGGATGCATTGCATGGGTTAACATTTTGAGGAAGATGAAAGGCTAATAATAATCCAACAGAAAAACTCTTTCCTTGACTTACGTGTAACGACTAGAATCCTGACCCGGAGCACCGAGAATGGAAGCACAGCTGACGAGGGCAACTAAGCTGATAAACGGGATGTTGATGAACATGATGATTTTGGCGAGTTCGATTGATTCTAGATGAGGCGGTTAAAGTAGGTGACCGAGAAGCAGTTAATCGAGGTAAGAAATTAGAAAAAAAAAGGATATACTAATACTAATACTACCGATAAGTTATTAAGGATTTGAAAGAAGATAAACTCAAGCACCAGGCAAGAGAAATGGAAAGTTGGAATAGCTGTTGTTGTGTTGGAGTTGTGATGGAGGATGAGGACGAGTTTCTTGTTTGGCTGATCAATCTTGGGGTTTTTATATCGGTTTCTCCCAGCTACCGGACTGGAGTCGTAGGGCAAGTAGAACGAACGCAAGAAGAACGAATGCCTGTTGCGACTGGGAAACCAAGTCAGTGGCACCATTCCAACGTGCCAGTGCCACGGGCATTCATTCAACTTTCTGACCTGCCTTGGAAAAATTGACGAGACTCTGGACACTGGATCAAGCCATGAGTCATCGGACAACCCAGCCCGACAACCTGCTCGGGCTGACTATACCCGAGACAAGTTCGGCAGCCCAGAGGCGATGATGGGGCTGCGGAACTTGTCGGACAAAGCCAGTCCGAGCTCTTGCCTCAGGCTAGCTTGTCTGATGAATTATACAGTTGATGAGCGTGTGGGGTAGAAAGTTTTCAAGAAAAAACCCAGATCTTGAAAATGACCTCACTCAAACACTCAGTTTGAACTGGCTATGTTGTTAACAAATTTCAATGATGAGGCCGCCATGTTGGTTATCGCTAAAGATTTGAGCTTCAATGACGACAGTTTATATGTAGTTTATCTCTCCCAGCCTTCTGGTACAGTCAGAAGGACAGCTCGACGCGGTCTACGCAACTGCCCGAGAAACGGGATTTGGCGACGTGGCATCAAGCTACCGTTTATGTCTGTCAGACTGCTGAGAAGGAAAGAGGGCACGCGGCGAGAGCGATTTATGTAGCTTTGGAGCTTGTACCCGACAGTTTTCAGCACGCCCGGCGCGCCGACACGAGTGTAGCTTAAAGATCGGAGGGTCGCTTCTCGATTCGCGAGTCGGCGATCGAGGGCCGCAATCTCGGGACCGGGGCTCATGCTACATGGTGGGGCATGGAGTGATGAGACACTTTGGCATTGCGCTGGCCGGAAGATGGTCCTTGCGGGACGGCGTCTCGCCTCTATTTTCCCTACGGTTACATACAGAAAGCTTATTATTCACCACCCGCTTGGCCAGGTTTGGCCATCCCGGCCGTTGCCACGAGACCAGTAACACACGGAGGTGGAGAGGCTTCCACTCCCTTTTCGATTTATGCATCAAGACATACTCACCCACTTTTTTGTTTGACCTTTAGATTTCTGTCAATACTGAGGATTGGTGGCACCCGTTCCCTCGATACGTCATGGATATCAATCATCGCTACACAAACCACAAGGGGTTGCGATGACCGGAAAACACATACGATAATTCCTCGCGCAAATCGGCGAAAGAAGGAATAGAAGGTATCGCCAGAAGATAGTTGTTGTATATAACAATTCATCTCTTGTGGGCGCCTTGCGTTCGCCCCATAGTTTCATCAACGTAATTACCAATCGAACGTTTCCCTCTATCATATATTGATCAGAAAAAATGGACTGTCGTTTCCTCAGATCAACTTCAATGAGAAAAGCGAACTCAAACCAAATGTACACTTTCTTATCAATTACCATCCTTGCCAATCTCTTTTGTTTTCCGTTTTCCTCTTGCCAACTTCCTGCACCAGGCATCACACCCTCATCCAATCTAGCCCTTACCACGTCACCTCCTGGACAAACCACCCCACCTGGAACCACCAACACCGGCGCCGGGATACCTGGAACTAACACTGGCGCGGGGGTACCTGGAACTAACACTGGCGCGGGCATATCTGGAAGCACCACGACACTCGCAACTACTAGCACGCCTGGTACCACAACAAATGGCAACCCATCAACAGGTCGTACCACCACGAACCCCTCGCCAAAAGCCGATTCTCTCTACTCCTGCTCCGAAGCATTCGCGCCACTGGATGAGGATCAGACATTAGTTTTTGACCGTCCAGGTAGCTTCCTTTCTCGTACAATTCCACAGATTACTAAGGATTTAGAGACTGAAAACTCTGTATATCCGTGTCTTTCAGTTCCCGAGGCTGCTGGGTATTGCAAGAGTAACGCCAGTAGTGACAACCTTGCTTGTGCCCTACGTACCTGTGTTGCATTCCCCAGTGTGCAATTCCGCTACTAAACTCGAATTAAATTTTCGGCTTATCGATGTTTTTTTCTTACCAGCTTGCAGCGGATGCTCTGTTGTTACCAGCTCCGCCACGGACAGTAAGGTAACTACAGACGGCCGAGTGCTCCCTCAACCCCAGAACTGCGAGCTAGCGTATTATATCAGTCACAAACCTGGAGTACCATCTCGTAAGAATAAAATCATTGCTTGAACAATTCTTCTTACAAGGTTTGAGTTACAAACTTCCTCAGACGCTTTTCTTTCTTCACAGTTTGTCTGACTGCCCAAACCGAGGTGTTGCAATGCACCGGCGGCTGCCAAAATGCTACTAGTGAGTTCTACTTTATATGTTATATAACTAAATAAAACATGTGAACGATTAACTCATCAGTCTTCGGTTTTTGCTCTGTGTAGACTGCGGAACCTGTTTCAAAGTTACCGAGACTAACCAACCATCCAAAGGCCCTACATTCTAGAATTGTATAAACAAGTAGGAGGCCCCCTAGCTTGAACACATCGCCGACCTGTCAGAAGAAAATACCCGACTTGATATTAGTACTCTTAGTCGACCAACCGCACCTTCATACTCTGGGTCACAGAGCTCATTTTTCTATTGTGTGTGTCCACATAATCAGTTTCCTAAATAAATCTATCGAATCACCGGACCAAATCGTCATTCCGCTCGTTTAATTCCATTCTTGAGCTTTGTAAAAAACAAATCAACTGTATATCTTTTGCATGATTACAGTACCACAATTGATTAGAATGAAATTACAAACACTTCGAGGAAACCCCATCGATCTGAAATTGTTAACTTAGCCTTGCTAAAACTAAAACCCATTTTTTTGCTGATGATGGGTACTACTACTCGAAAGATTCGATTGTCTAAATCTAAAGTTGCAGATTGATGGGAAGTCCTCCACTATCAGGAATGCTTGGAAAGAGCAACATTTGTCTTGAGGAATCTGATGAAATATGCCTACTGATCGTTGAGGTCAGGTAATCAATGAAGAATCAAGTGGCAACAATCACTTGAAATATCATTCAAGGAATTGGTACCAGTGTATACGGCAAAATCACCCTTCTTCCCACGCCCTCGGTCGATTAGCTCAGTTGGTTAGAGCGCCGTACTAATACATGTCACAGATCATGTCATGCGGATGTCATGGGTTCGACCCCCATATTGACCACAATGTACCCCTCTTGGTACCGGTGAACTTTGCTCCCTCACCAGGAGGTCCTCGCCGGCTTTTGCCACCTTTTTGGTGTCTTCAATAAATTCCCGAGCAATTCATCAACCTTTAACAACGCTCTTATGGATAAATCCAACATCCGTTTGCTGATGTGAATTTCATCAATAAACATTTCATAAAAATTTAAAATCTGTCATTTCCAACAAATGTGATAAGGTTCGGAATGTTGTGTGTGCAGTTATCATAAACATCAGTACAAACTGATAAATTCCGCAATACCTTCAAGTGTCTGTCCCAGACGGAAGAGGCCCACCGCCAAGCGTGGGACCTGTTTTGAGTTTCGCAACTAGTTAACGTCTTATCTGTGTACAGATTGTAGCGGGTCAGAGCGGGTCTGTGACCCCGATAACCACAAATTCTCTTTGCCTCGGATGGGTCGCAATAAAGTACAGTTCGTTCGGATGATCAAACATCACTTTGCCGAAGAAAGGAAGCTGAAATTTATCTCCTTGAAACCTGTGGGGCTAGGACTAGGAGTAGTTTGAGTTCTAAGATCCAACTGGCCACGGGCCACCCGGTATGATTGGTTATTGAGGTATTCCTTATGATTCCTGGAGCAAGCACTATGCATAGCCAAGGTGCAAACAGTTTTCCTCGAGAAAAAACGAATCAGCAGCTGCATCTTTCAATCCTAACTGGATTTTTCAGGAATTTCAAGAGTTTCTCCCAAAACTCGGGGATGATGGCGGCCCTCGGAAGTATGTGACCTGACTACCAACGACCGGCTAATTCTGGCTGCGATGTAGCAATTCCAGTAAGATATGTACGTGCACACGTGCCGATATGTGTTCTAAACTCAATTTTTTGGCATATAACAAAGGTGTCTTGGAGTAGCGGAAGGGTGCGCCTGTAGAAGTAGAAAGTTACCCCTCCAACGCCGATCACATACGTTTTTGAGTTCAATTTTCAATTTTCGGCGCCATCCCAATCGCATGTTAAATTTTGAATCTCTCTAATCGCGAAAGAAAAAACTTTTCGACTCTTCAACATGGCACGTCTATACTTTCTGCTCCTAACATTATTGACATATCGAGGTGCCATTGCGCCTGCTATTTCATCACTTCCAGGACAAAATATTGATATGGTCAATGCAAGCATTGAAACTGCATTCCATGATATCAAGCAATCACACCAGCCAGGTTAGTATTTCCAAGTTGAAATCATCCAACTTCTTCCATGGTCACTCAAATGATAGCAACATCACCCTCAATCCAGGAACAAAAACTTCATCAAAAATTCTAGAGGCCAAAGTGAGTGAGCATCGTATCCCCGAAAAGAGCCTTATCGAAGAGGGTTGTTGACATAATTCCACAAATGATGATTAACGTCCGCTAGGGTTACTCTTCTCGGGATGGATCCCCTCTCGCAATTTTCCTGCCACAGTTCGCATCAGCGGAAGAAATTCCGCGTACCCCAGATGAATTGAAAAACTACTACATTCCGCTAAAAAATTATTATGAAGATTATGCCGGTCACCACCCAGTTCCTCCTCTCTTGAAGAAAGGACCTTATGTCACTCAACATCGCATCCCTCCCGGCTATGTGCCGCTCTTCCGGTATGTCGGTAAATATAGAGGCTACTACGCCCCCTGGGAGCTACTGTGGTGGCTTCCAGAGGATCATGAGTTCATCCGAGATTATCGCCAAAACTTAAGGGGCCAAATTTTGGTTGATGAATTGGATCCCGAACTAAGTAAGCTTCATTACTCTTTTTATGATAAACTTATAGATAAATTGAACCGGAATTCTTTCATTGAAAAATGAATCTAAAACATAGAGAAAGAAGGTATAAACCTCCCAGCAGATGGGGCCTTCGACGTTCACGTAAGCATAAGTTTTGTTCGAATTTCACAAGGTAAATTGATCTAATGGCATCCGTTCTTCATAGGTTTACGAACCGTGATTATAAACTATGGTTAAATGGCGAAAAAGGAGAAATTGAGAAAGACGACAATGGGAAGGGATCCGGAAATCAAACGGCCAAGTAATACGATCACAAAAAAAGACAATGAAGATAAATAAAACGAGTGAGGGAAATATTGAAAACTTTTCCAAAGCTCCATAAATGGATCCTAGGAAATGAGAATTTTGGCTAGGAAAAGAAAACAGGGATAGAAGAAGCTACCTTTTGGGTTTAGCAACATTCAAAGACCGATTGTTACATAATATTTCCTCATTGCATCTCAGCAAAGCAAAAATGTTCTGAATAATCTATTTCTTTCTCTCAAAAAATAAAAAAATGTTAGGGTTGAGAGTTGAAAGATTTCATTAGATCTGTTCAGAAAAAAAAAACCTTCTGTTGATCAAGTGTTAAGGATATGATTCTGAAACCTGTTTAATGGTTCAAGAAAATAAAAGGTATCCAAGTTATTAATTGAAAATTGGGTTTACCATCAACCTATACACACCAACTACCTTTGCCAATGTTTTGCTGAACCTACCACAGGTAATTTCTATTTTCAGGTGGTCTGGTACAAATTGGAACACTGTAAGGTTGCAGTGGTTCCTCATGATTTGCAGATGACCTAACAACCAAAACAATCTGATTAGCCCATGGATTTACCCATCTGTGTGAGGGCCCACCTATTACTCTCTTTTTTTTGAATGTCCATAAGTAACTTCAAGAGAATTTACTGTCTATATCATGAGGGAATAGGGTCAGTTTATCTTAAGAAAGATCAACTCTTGAAGGGATGAAATAACTTTTAGATTGAGTCAATTATAAGACTTGGTAATGATAAATAAAAAAACAAAGATATTGCAATAGGGAAAAAGGAAAAGGAAAATCTAATAAACAATCACAAGTATATATAAAGGGGATTTGTTAAATGAATCCCAAAAATTGGAGAGCCGACTCCCAAGCCCTGGAATCCCCAAAATTTGGGAGTCAAACCCCCAAATCTTTGACTGGTTTGGGAGTCAACTCCCTAAAAAAGATATTGAAAAAAGAAAAACCTGGTTGGTTTGGGACTCAGTCCTCCAAAACCAACCAGGGTTTGGGGGTCAATGAGCCAAGCGACTTCCACAAAAGCGGCTGGGAGGATTACTCCCAGCTGCTAAGGGTACACAATTGACAGCTGGGAGTCTACCTCTTGGCCTTCAAGAGTGTACACATCAATGACCAAGAGGAATCCTCTTGGCCGTCAAGGATATACACTCTCAACGGCCAAGAGAAACCACCTTGGCTGTCAAGGTGTACACTCTTGGCCATCAAGGTGTGCACTCAGTGGCCAAGAGAGAGAAGCCCTCTTGGCAGTTGAGAGTGTACATGTTGACCACGGAGGTGGTTGCCCTTGGCTGTTGAGAGTGTTTACTCTTGAAGGCTAAGAGTATTCCGCTTGGCTTTTGAGTGTACACCTCAACAGCCAAGATGAATCCTCTTGGCTGTTGAGTGTACCGTGGCCGTCAAGAGTGTATACCCTTGAGGGCTGAGATGATTCTTTTTGGCCATCAAGGTGCACACTGCACACTCTCAATGGCCATGAGGTACACTCTTGGTTGTCAAGGTCTACACCATTGATGGCCATGAGTAACCCTCTTGGCCTTTGGAAATTGGGAGTGTATGCTCTCAATGGCCAAGAGGTTTTTTCACTCTCATTTCCTGAGTGCAAAGCTTGATGACCAAGAGTGTACACCTCAATGAAAAAGGTGGTTTCCCTCGGCCATTGAGAGTGTATTTCATCAACAGCCAAGAGGATTCCTCTTGGCCATTGAGGTGTACAATCTCAACGGCCAAGAGGTACACTCCCAGCTGTCAAGAGTGTACTCTCAGTGGCCAGGAGGAACCCTCCCTGCCGCTTCCATGAGGCCTTTTGGCTCCAAACCCTGGTCAGTTTTGGTGGATTCATTCCCAAACCAACTGGGGTTTTTTTTCAACATCTTTTTTGGAGAGTTGACCACCAAACCAGTCAAATGTTTTGGGGGTTTCACTCTCAATTTTTGGGGATTCTGGGGCTTGGGATTTGGCTCTCCAATTTTTGGGAGTTATTTAACCAAGCCCCAATATGAAAGAGATCTCAAAAACAACTGAGTAAAATGTCTAATTAAATTTACCACAGAGTAAAATGTCTAATAAAATTTACCATAACATACTATTTCCAATTCAAAGTCATTAAAGATCTTTATATCAACTGAAATGAAGAATCTTTAAAGAAACAATCTGCTAGTTTGAAATGTATTTCTATAACTCCAAATGATACAATCTGGTCATGTGTATTAGGGAGGGCAAACTAACAATAATCTGTGATAATTTTTACATGAAGAAGGAGCATCTAATCACAGTTTATTTTGAAAATATTCCACTAAAATCTGCACATGAAACTCGGGTGGAAGTGACAGTTTGAATCATAGGATTACAATTGAAAGGAGACTACTGTCACAATTCCAATGTCTTGATTTCCTGAAATCCATTCAGGTTTGAACTTGCAACACTTTAATTGGCAATGGTTCCTTGCTAAAATTTGGAATTCTAGAAAGGAGACCAAAAATCACAACAAGTTTCCTCCACATCTTCTCAAATAGGCCGGAAGCCCAGTAGAATAAATGTATGATTCAAACTTGTTAGAGAATTTCTACCATGAATGACTGAATATTAGTTTTGAGTTTAGGGGCCATTTATCTTGCAAAAAATATATTGCCAGTATCTAAAGGGCCCAGAAAATCTTGAAATACTGAAGACACTGACATACAGTATCTGAAGATGAGGAGATACTGTTCAGATTACTTACCCTCTTTGGCCAACCCAATTTCTTGGAAATGTTCACAATCAATCATTTGGGTCCCTTGGCTTCTGTTGGATTTCACAGTGTCTTTCTGTTTCTCTGCTTCCCACCTGTTTCACACATTTTATCAGTATGTCACAGTTCTGTGACATCCTTGTATGTAGTCACTCTAGGTCAGCCAGGAGTATGTGGAAGTTATCTTTTCCTAATTCTTCCATGAGCTGCCTGACTGGCCTAGGTGATTTGTCTATTTCTCACTTTCTCACTTTCTCACTTTCTCACTTATTCTCTTTTCTCTCATGAGTGGTGCAATTAATCTAATAATTCCACAAATTTCCTGACTAGACTAGCTTCATTGCAACAGATTCTTCTTCTTCTACGTCTCTCACTCTTCCCCTTCCCCTTCTGCTTCCTCTTCTGCTTCTGCCTCCTCTTCCGCTTCTTCCTCCTCTTCAGCTTCTGCCTCCTCTTGCATTTCTGCCTCCTCTTCCGCTTCTGCATCCTCTTCCGCTTCTGCCTCCTCTTTTGCTTCTGCCTCCTCTTCCACTACTGCTCTTATCAACCAAGACGCTTCTTTGACTGCTACAAAACCTGACAATCCTACTTTCTAATCTCTTTCTTTTTTTAGAAAAAGAAAGCTCTATCTCTTTTTTTAAAAAAATGAATCTCTATCTATCTTTTGGTTTAAACTCTCCTCTTCCCAGATACACACAGAAAAATTCATGATGTTGAGGATTATGTCAGGGATTGGTATTTGATGCAATTCTGGGGGTTTTCTCTATTGTGTTTTATGGATGTCCAAGAGAGGTTTTGGGAGTCTCATTGGTTCTGATTTATAGACTTATCATGTATCCTTGACTTACACTTTTAAAATTACTTTACCACTCCAATTGTTCCACTTTGTGTCATAAAGTATATCTATATCAAAAGATCCCTTGAGGGGGAAATAAATTGCAAATAGGTTGAAAGGCTATTAAAAATTATGGGTGGTTTGAAAGACCTAACCCTCTAAATTTACTCATCATATATCTAACAGTCTTTTAATCAATATTTAATAATTTATGTGAAAGTTTGATGAGGCCCCGTTTGGCAGCGTCATAAATTTAGGTGTGATATTGCCTGATTAATTCAATCAAAAATAACCCAATGCAAAATATGTTTCAAAATTGTTACTCAGGCAAGTTCAATTACTGGTTCCATCAATTCTTAGAAAAAACTTGATATCTTAGGCCATCTTGAGCCCCATAATATTAATATTACCCTTTATATGGGTAAAAAGTGTAATATTGGTATTATGGTGCTGAAGATAGCCCATTATCTCAACTTTGCCTTCACTAAAATTGAAATCAGTAGTTTACCATACCCCAGTTAAAATTTTATTACATATTTCTGAGTGGTTTATTTTATATTGAATTTATAAGGCAATATTACACTTGAATTTATGACGCTGCCAAACAGGGCCAGGTCAAATACTTTGTTGCAGCATATAAACAAATGCTAATAGTAGTAGATAACTGAGAACAAATTATGACAAGGAAAAAGCAGCAACAAAATAAGCAAAGAAAATGAGATGTTAGAAAAGAAATGAACAAATTACTTAGTGAGAGAAAGAATGAAATCAATAAGTACCTACCTTTTGATGTTCTTGTCCTGACTACGGCTCAAATAATAGACACAAGAGATATTTATAGGAGATAAAGGAAGATAACAACAAGCCTGAAGAAAAAATATAAGATCAATCAATATGTTCAGAAGGAGAAGATAAGAGAAAGAAAGAGAAAGAAAGAAGAAGAAATGAGATTTGGATATACCTCGACTTGAGTTATAACCGTGCTCCTCCTGAATTTCTATGGTCTAGACAAGCAGTGAGGTGGTTCAAGAACGTGCAGTTTGGGATTGATTGACAGTGGATTAAGTGAGCTTTGGTTTGACAGGGACCCAGGGTGCAATGATGGTGGTTCCGGATGCAATGAAGATTTTCAGACTGGAGACATGGATCTTGAACTTCTAGTTGCCTTCAGTTATTGTATATGGTTATGCAATATCATTTAGATCCATAATACACCGCAGCATGCCAGGATCACTCTTTGACAATTTATGTCTGATTCCAATATAGATCTTGCTTTTGGAAATTAATATCTATCATAATCAGACCAAGATCATGTATCAATATACTAATGAATCTGTTACAACTTCATAAGCACAAAAAAGATGAGCTGCTGCAGAGATTTTTAATGGTCTCTTCCTCAAAAAACTTCTTGCTAAATTACTTTCACCAAAAACTAGAGCCCCCGGTTAATACTACTACTACTGGTTTGTTTGTTAATTTTTAATGTGCTACAACTTATATGATGACTACTACTACTAATATGCTTTAAATTCATAACTATGTGTTGCTTTCATGCTTAAAAGACTGTTCTAACTCACCACATACCACTAACCAACTCACTAAATTATCACTAATCAAATGTGACCAACTTACTGCTGTAGGTTGATGATGGAAAGGGAATTTATGGTGGGGAGAGGCCCGTCTTTGATGAAATTTTGGCTCTGAGAGCCAAAGTAGGAAAGAGAAAGCAGAAACAAAACTTCTCAGGAAAAGGCTCAGAGGGAAAAAGGTGGTTGATGAGCCCAAAAAAGGGGCTAGACTCTGCTAGCTTGTGAGACAGAAAGGTGTACTCACTACAAGGGGTTGTATCTTGTAGAGACCCCAGGGATCAGTGCACAGAAGAAAAGATGGCACATTTCTTTCTAAGAACCTTGTCTCTTTAAACTATTACAACCGTGGGGGGCAGATTGTGGGACAGAAGGTGAAATGCATATTCAACTGGAAAGAGAGAAAGGAGCGACAGGCAGAAATGAGTGACATGGATGAGGGAGAAAAAAAAAGAGGATAGATGATGACAGCTAAAGTCCAACATTCTTCAATGTTGAAGAGTGAGGGATTTCTGCTGCAGGCGACTCCTTTTGAGGGGTTATGGCTGCAGGCGATTCCACATTCACAGCCTGTGTACACAGCCTCCAAACAGACAGTGCAGCTCATGCTGTGCTAGACACACCTTAAATCCACTCCCTGTCACATAAATGAACACAAGAATCACATAAGCTCAGCATGTTGTCATGCATTGCCATGTAACCCGGCCATCTTCCAGAACATTCTGTACCTGCAGCACCAGGATGTCAGGCCTGCTGCTAACTCCTTCCATCCAGAGTTTTGGGGGTCAAAGCCTCTTCTTCCTGTACCTCAATGATTCTTCCTCCCTCCACTTCTTACAATCCATCCCCTGTATGCTTACGCCGTAACACATAAAATACCCTTATTACATAGCTTACCTCTATAAACACTACTCATCCATTCCATTCCTGGTCAAGGAAAGTTCTCCCACTACACTCCTTGTATATACTCCTACTCCATTCCATTCCTGGTTGAGACATGTTCTCCCAATCCATTCCTCCTATGTAATCCTGTTTGTATATACTGTAACTACTCTATGATGATTGTTCCTTCTTGTGTAATGACCATCACATGTATGTAACTATGCTATCCTAACACCTCTGCTGTATGATTTTGTAATAGGAACAGGCATAGCACACCACAGCAGTCAAAGCTGAGGAGGTTCAGATCAAAGATGGATAGCATCTGGTCAAAGATCCTAATGATTCCAAAGCTGAAGATTTGTGTCAAAGGTCCTAAGGATGAGTAAGGCCTGAGAAGATGCCATACTCTAGCTGGGTTTTGAAGGAGACTGGGTATGAGCTGCTTCAGAAAACAATGAAGTTTGGATGTCCTTCTTAAAGTACCTATGCGATGAGAGCAAAGGTGCATTGCTGAGGGTATCTGAGGGGGCATGATAACCGCACACCATCCCCCCTTGTGCACGCCAATCTGCACGCCAAAGCAGATTGGTGTGCAGGCCCACACAGCAATCTGCAGCAGGTCAATCAATTAGGACTAATACCATATGCCATCAACATCCCATTTTACAAAAATAATATCTATCTTCCTCAAAACTCAATATCATCACTTTCCATCAATTCTGGGTGCAGAAGGAAGGAAAAAAATGAGTGTTGTTTAAACGTTAAATCCCACAGTACTTCACTTGCCTGTTGATCATTGTTTGAATCTCCTGAACTTGGCCCACTTATCATCAAAATCTCTCTCACAGCTGTTATGCACTGGTTTGGTTTCATTAACATCTTTGTTCAACTTATTGTTCTTAGTTATCTTAATCCAAGGTTTGTGATTGTTTGCATCACCATCAGTTGTGATACTAGCTACAAGCTCATCTTCTGTTCATGATAGCATTTCTTGCCTCTTGCACAAGAAAGTATTTGTTCTTGCTCTTCTGCTAAAGTTGCATCAAAAATTCAGGTGAGATCTCTAGGGTGAAATTTCTGCAGTTTCTTGGATGAGATGTTTTTTTTTTTTGTTTTCTTGCAAGAAGTTATCATGAACCCTGCTATTAGATTCAGAGCCAGATTATACTCATCTAGAAATTTGCAGAGAAATCTAACTTTGTCTAATTATGGACTCCTTGGGATTAAAAAAAAAAAGAAGGAAAAATACACAGTGATGAAATCAAGTTGGTTCATGAGTCAAGATGCAATACAGTCTCAGAGGATGTCAAAGCAGGATATTAGTTCTTTGATGAAGACATGGTTTGATGGGAAATGGTACAGAGTTACAATTTAAGATCACTAATCAATTGAATTTTTTTAATTTTGCAATGATGGTCATCTTTAAAAGTGTGAAGCTTTCACAGGATCAAGAGTGTTTTGTTGTATGTATTTCCAGGGGCCAAAAGAAGTAGATCGGATTACATAATGCTGAGGTTGATCTGATGATGATGATGATGATGATGATGGCCCGGAGACTGGAGAAGTTGGCTAAGTGAAAAAAAAGAGGACTAGCTGGCCGAAGCAGAAGAAGAAGAACAGCCCACTCGACACCAACTTGGCCTCCTGAGCCACTACATAGCCCACACAACCTACACACCACCAAAACCAAAAGAAAACCAACAACAAACACCCTCAGGACACTCGACCGAGCACAACAAGCACAAGCTGTCAATCCAACCAAACAGAACCAGAACAACCAACAAACCGCCCAACGCTTGATCATCCTCAGAACCATCTCCGCATCCGAAAATCACTAGCGAACTGCCCCTCTCCCAGCTCGACAGCATCTTCGATCATACCTTCCCATCCTTACCTCCTCTCCCCTCCTCTCTGCTCGAGACTCTGCATTAACCAGCCTTCGAAAACTGACAACTCGCTCGAATACAACAAGGCTCGCTTACATCGCCTCTTCCCATTAACAAAAAAAACAAAACAAAAAACTTGCTCGAAACGATGACCAATAATATGATGATGTTTAAGGTGGGGTAAGACTGATGATCTCTCAGACAAAAAAAAACAACAACATACATATGATATATGAATATTCACAAGTCATCGGATCATCTTTTTTCTTGGCTCTCTCTCTTATACAATTGTCTGGGTAATCTCTCTGGCTTATTTTTCGGATCCTTCTTCTTTTCTTTTTTTTTTTGGCGGACGGGGTTTCAGATCGTCCTGTTGGGCGATGGAGGCGTTGGAAAAACAACTCTGATCATCCAGCTATGTCTGAATAAATTCATGGGTCAGTCCTCTACTAGTCATCATCATCTCCCCACCATCATCATCATCATCAAAACAAGAAACAAAGAGAGAACCAGTTGATTGATTTTTCTTTTTGTGTGTGTGTTTTGTTTTGTTTTGTTTGTGAACGTGTTTTCTTTTGGGGGCGTGATGGACTGATTTGATACGGATCCTGATGTTTGGAATGATGATCGAAAAAAAAAAAAAAAACTTGGGATGACGACACGTGGGACATTTCTAAAGATGGATACGACCCGACGATCGAGGACTCGTACCGAAAACACCTGATCATCGACGACCAACCGTGTATTCTAGAGATCCTTGATACGGCCGGACAGGGTCAGTCATTTCCCCCTCCTTCTTCTTCCCTTTCCAAAACGATACGCGTCGTTTGTTTGTAAATAAACATTACCTCCTCTGTGGACATCATTACTAATCCTCTGTTTTTCGTTTCTTCTTCTCTGGTATGGCGACATTAGAGGAATACACCGCTTTGAGGGACCAGTGGATACGGTTTGTTTTTTTTTGTTTCATTCCTTCCGACTCACATTTATCAATCATCCATAATCACGCGAAACAAAACGAAAAGCCTACAAAAGAACCCCCCCGGGAAAAGCAATCCAGAATGCCCTCTGCCCGCCCCCAAACAAAGCCCAAGCTGACTGACGAACCCACTAACACGGCTGGAATGAGCAGAGAAGGCGAAGGATTTGTGCTAGTCTATTCGATCACGGCGCGATCGACGTTCGAGCGCATCGAGCGATTCCGCTCGCAGATCCTACGGGTGAAAGACACGGAGACGATGCCGATCATCCTAGTGGGAAACAAGGCGGACAAGGTGCATGAACGGGAGGTGGGCAAGGACGAAGGCTTGGCGTGTGCGCGGAAGATGGGCTGCGACTTCGTCGAGACTAGTGCTAAGACTCGTCTGAACGTCGAGGCCGCTTATTTCAATCTCATCAGGTCCGTCTCCCTCCCTCCTTTTTTGTTTTTACTGGGTTCATTTTCGTCTCTCACTCCCTCCTCCTCCTCCTCTTCCGCTCTCTTTGTAGAGCTATTATGGCCCTCAGAGAAGGCGACCGGAAGCGGCCGAAAGAAAGGAAACGAAGGTGTCGGATACTCTAACCCCCCTCTCTATTTCTTATCCCTTCCCAATTTGTCTTTCTTTCTTTCTTTTCCCTTTTTGTAATCAGCAAGAACACACATATATATATACATATAAAAAAAACATGATCCGATCAAGGGGGAGAGACGTTTTGTTTCCTTTTCTCAGTTCAATTATGATTATTTATATACTTTTTTTTTGTTTATCTTTATCTCTTTATTTATTTATTTATATATATATAGTGTCCTTTTGTTCCTTCCTTCCTTCCTTCCTTCCTTCCTTCTTTTTTTGAATTTATTTTGTTTTAACTTTATGTTTGTGTTGGTTTTGTTTTGTTTTGGTTTTTTTTTGGTTTTGGAGATTGGTCGAGATTGATGTTAAGTTTTTTTTTTTTTTTTTTTTTTTTAGTATTGATTTCATTATTTGAGATAACAAAGAAGAGAAAAGGGAGGACGAAGGGAGACGACAAGAGAAGAAGAAAAAGAGATCAGCCTATGCAGCCATCAAGACGAAGAAGACGAAAATGACCACTGAAAACATGTGAACAAGAGTGGGTTTATGAAAGGCCCCTTGGGGGGGGGGGGGGGGGGGGAGAGAGAGAGAGAAAGGGGAGATGAAGAAGACCCAAGCAGCAGCAGCAGAGATCTATGTAGAATGAGTCTCCTCCACTCTCCAATCATCTGAGAAAAAGAAAAAACGGGCTATCGAAGTCCCGTGACGGACTTCCCAATGAATGATCTGGCGTGTCCAACAAGTGAGAGTTCCTTGAAGAAATTATTTATGTAGATATTCGTTTTTTCACATGGAGATGAGGAGCTTAATCTGACGAGGATTTAAAATGAAGGTGAGTGTCAACTGATTACAAAGAAGGTAGCTTCTATCAGAAGAGCTCCAATATAATAAATTGAAAGAACTCAGGACTGACGGGAACCACTCCACTTGCTTGCACTCAGCAACCACTGGAATCGTGGTTTCAAGATATAGCCCTTTGTATTATTTGTATAGTCTATGGACGGGCCGGGAATGCTCCCGTCAACACAGCTCCGAGCTCTTCAGACCGTACATGGCGCTCTAAAACAATCTTTGTTCTTGCAGCGCTTCTTGGCTTATAATGTATGCTGGATTTGTTGGATGCTTGGATCGTTCGATTGTTGTCGTTTTTTTTTTTTTTTGAGGCTCTGGAAGGTTTGGAATGCGGATGGCCGTCTAGAGCTGTTTGATTAAAGCATTCGGCGACACTGATGCCAAGATGAGAAGCAGATATATCCGTCAAGCAGAAAAAATGAGGGAGCTCGAATTTTCAGAGGGGGGGGGATAAATGCGTTCGCACATGAGGAACGCCCTCGTCGGTCTATGTTGATCGAGCTCGACACATTGCTGCAAGTGTGTCTCTTCCCCACTTCAGTTATATGCTAGCTTAACTAAGCCTCTCCTTCGGTCGGGGCCGAATGGCCGACCCCGCGTCCCAAAGGGTTCGCGCCCAGCGAAAGTGTTACACAGCGTCCTCCCACCAGGGAGGGACTTGTGTTAAGTTAGAGTTATATGCACATCCAATGATCAGGCTCTAGTTCTCTCAAGCCACAGAACCAAAGACGCTCGTGGTCATTCTTTTTCTCGAGCTCATAGAACATCGGTGCAATGCAGATTTTAGGCCTCGTGTTTTACTTATTTATTTATTTAGATAAAAACAAAATACTGGAAAAATTGCGAATAAACTTGTGAAGAACAAAGAAAAAAAACAAATCGCTGATTTGGACTTATGTATCTCAATAATCTAGATCAGAGGAACTAAGTTACGCATGTGTATGTAATGTATGGGGGGAAGGAGAAACACGAAGACTGCGATTTTTAGTGAGGCGAATGATGAGGAAAAAAAGAAGTTGACGGAGGGTTTGTTGATCTGATTACCCCATGTGAGCGGCGCAGGTGTACGATGACGCCGAAGAAAGCTGATGGGCGAATTTTAGAACTTGAAATTGAGAAGCTCAATAGGCCTTGACATTGGAGTGACATGGGGGTTTAGTGCCGTCGCCACAAGTCACTGGAGCAGTCTGATGAGTGCCAGGGAAGTTGGAGCTGTGATGAGGTGATTGCGTGTGTGCGCAAGGGCCCTTGGACCCGTCCGGGCAAGTGTTTGGGACGGCCGGGTTCGGAAGAAGGTCGGGATGAGGAGGTTCCCTTCCCGGATCAATGATCACACAAGGACCCTCAATCCCATCGCCGCGGCCACAGTCATCTACTGCTCCAGGAATCGGGGCGGTCGAGTTAGGAAGAAGGTCGGGATGCGGAGGTTCTCTTCCGGGATCAGTGATCATCACACAAGGCCCAACGATCCCATCGCCGCGGCCACAGTCGTCCGTTGCGTCGACACCAACCAGGCTTGCGGGCTGCATCGGATCGCAAGGCGCGGAGATGTCGTCTCCACAGGGCCCGGGATGGGTGCCCGGAAAGGCGACGACTGAGCGCAGAGGCCCGCAGGGCGGTTTGGTCCCATCGCCACAGCTGATCGGGGCCGTTTGATGGGTGCCCGGGAAGCGCTTTGGGGCGGCTGGATGGGCGTGGCCGCACGGAGGCTGGCTCCTATCCCCACAAAGGATCGGGGCCGTCTGATGAGTGGCTGGGAAGGCGACCGTTGGTCGTGCTTGTCCACATGGCGGTTTCGTGCCATCGCCACAATTGATGGGCGCCGTTTGATGAGTTCCAGGAAAGCGTGGGCTGTCTGACTCTGGGTGGGTCTGGCCGCATGGCGGCTTGGTCCCATCTCCGCAGGTGATGGGGGCTGTCTGGTGAGTCCCCGGGAAATGGGGCTTCTTGTCCGCTTCCGGACGGGCTTGGCCGCACGGCGGCTTCGTCCCGTCTCCACAGGTGATGGGCACCGTCTGACGAGTGCCTGGAAAGCGCGGCTTGTTTTCTGCAGTGGCCCCGGGTGTGTCGGAGCCGGCTTGGTGAGCAGCCGGCTCATGAGAGTCTTTCTGGCCGGACGAATAACTGGCCGTCTCCTCCGATCGGCCTCGAAGTGATAATGGACAGAGATTCCGGACACATGGTGGCGACGAGGAGTCTTGTTGGCCTACAATCTTTCGGGCCCGCGCTTCTAGATGACGTCTAGTCACTTCCTGATGATTATAATGGCCTCCCGCAGGCCTGTTCAAATAATATAACAGTCGTGGTCATGAGCTTCTCAACATAATATTAATCGGAGCTTCAATCATATCGGCTTGAGAACTCCTGGGGAACTTACTCGGCCATACAGCTCTGTTGAATCGTCAACAAAAGCGCAGCGCCAACGGACACTTTCAAATGTTAATAATCGTACGGAAGAGGGATGAAAAATCCAACCCCCAAAAAAAAACAAATCCACAGAATCAGATCAGTTATGCGAGTCGGCTTGAGGGACTTGCACAGTCTAGGAAAAGAGTGAGAGGACGGGCGGGGAGATGACTTACAGGCCCAGCCGAATGAAAGCATGATGTATAGAGACAAATTGGATGTGCTTTTTTTATAGTGATCTGCAAGCCGTCAAAAACAAAAAAAAGGAACCCTTCACGGTACGTCGAAAAAATTCAGGAACGGGTGATGAGGAGAGAAAGAGGGAGGGGGGGGGGGGGGGGGAAGTTATTTGCTCTTCCAGTTTACCTAGAAGGTTTGTCGGCCGTGTAGATGAAGCCTATTTATGACGAAAAAACCAAAAACAAAAAAAAACAAAATCTATCGAGTTGTGTGTGTGTGTGTGTGTGTGGGAGGTGCTTGGACACCCACCATAGAATCCAGATCTATATCTTGCCGCTTTGTCCTCCCATCCTCGCGCTCATATGTATCTAAATAGGTGTCCAAAAGTCCCCCACTGGATACCCCCGGGCCTACATAGAGAAGAGCTTATAGGAAAGCCTTGACCCGTCTAGGATCACGATGTTGTCCTTCTTCCCTCTCTGTCTCCCGACTGGTTTTTTTTTTTTAAAAAAAACAGGGAACATGGCCAGCTCATGATCGGCCGACCCATAGGCCACAGCGCGGGGTTTTTTTTATGATGGATATCCAGGTTTCTGTTGAGGCGGGTATGGACGTGTCTTCTGCTCAGAGCTGGGGTTGCTAGATGGCTGTGTCGACATGCTATATAATAGATCTTCATCACTGGTGGGCCGGTCGTCTTGGGCCATGAGAGTTGAGGAGGACATGAATAATATCCAAGCCAGTGCGGAAACAGTTAAATCCGAATCGAGAAATCGTAAGGAAATCAGTTTGATTTCGAAGTAATAGGTCAAAGATCCCCCTCTGGAGTTTCTCAAATTAAGAAAAAGGGGGAGGGGGGAAATAGATATCCCAATTGGATTCCTTTAATCGAGAGTCGAGCCTTGAATAGTTTTGATTTGATAGAGCAGGCTGACCGGCTCAATCCATATTTTGATGAGGCCCAGTATATATAGCCTTGGTTGAATGATAGGATCCAGTAGCTTGGATTGGAAATGTGCGGCATTTGAAGCTTGCAGGAAGGAAGCCCATTATTTGAAGCTGTGCCCCTCCTCAGTCAGTGGGTTTTATGATATAGCTAGCCAGACCCTAATTGCTCAATATCTAGTGCCCTCGCTCAGGATTGCCCTCTGCTGAGGTGAACCAGGGCTCAAATGTGATAGATAGGTGTTTAGAATGGCTGTGCAGAGGATACATCCTTTCAGCTTTGGGGCTGCAGTTGCTCTGGAAATTATTGAGATTCACATCAGTTGGGTCTGGGCTGTTGGGGTTGCGCAGCAGCAGGGGGGGGGGGCTTCCGCCTGAGTGAAGCTGTGAAGTTGAAGTGGGGTGGTTTTACTTTGGTTTCACTTCACTCTTACTCGGCTGTCGACTGGCAGTCATCAATCAACTTCCTCACTCAATATCACAGCCATGACCAACATCGACCCATCCCTACCAACCAACAACAACAACAACAACAGCTCAAACAACCCAAGCAGCACGGTCAACAGCAACACCAACAACAACAACAACAACAACAACACAAACCACAATCGGAAACGATCTAGACAGTCATCATCAGAAGATCTACTATCAACCGACCATGACCTATCATCACTCGACCCAACCCTATCGGCCATCAACGATAGCATGGCTGCCGATACTGCCAACCTACTCAACCATCACTCACAACACACCCCAAAGAGAAAGAGAGACTCCTCCGATCAACTTCGCCAATCAGATCTCGATCATCATCAGGACAACAACTCAAACAACCGTCCCTCTCTCGACACTCTCCAACTAGCTCACCTCATCACCTCTATCCAAGCACATCGTAAGTCTACCTTCCTCTTCAGCTCACTAACTCCCAACTCACCAAGCCCCCCTTGGCTGTTTCATATCCAAGCAGAACAGCCCCCCTCATCATCCGTACCCATCGAACCAAGCTCTAGTTCTCATCTGGCTGGATACAATATCCTGCCTGACTATCTCCTTCCATCTGAGCCCACAATCGAGCCAGAGTGGAAGGAGAAATTCGAGATCGTTCTGAACCCATTAAAGCTAGAGGTCAGTCCTTCTTTGGTTGTATATCTTGCTTACATACCAATCAGACTTATAATAATCCCCTTCTGCTTACCCAGATCTCTCGCCTTCGATCACGCATCGAAATCTTGGAGGATGAACGATTGGTGATGGCTCGCGAGATCACCTCGTTGAAGGGATCTCACAATATCCCCTCTGATCTCCCTCCTCGATCCTTCCCTGGATCTACCCATCAAATCCCACTCCCTGCAGCCAGAGATAACCCAAGAATGACAACCATCCTCGGTAATTCAACCCTACATAACCATGCCTTGGATATTCCCGTAGGCCCACTACCGGAGATCGGATCGAGCAGCCAAGCTCACTCGACTGCCGGCTTGAATCATCAGCTTGCTGCCTCTGCTTCTTCGGGCACCAAGCCTGTCATCCCACAATCAGTTATCAACTCCTCCTCCAAGTTCGAGACTGGCACTAGTTTTCGTCGGCAGAGCACCCGAAAGAAGTCCGAAGCACCAAGCTCATTCAATACTTCACCTGCCTCAAACGCCACCCAAGCCAGTAACAACCGATCCAAGCATCGCAAGCCAGAGCTTTCTCGGACGGTCCGGGCGACCGTGTTCAGGCTGATGGGAGTCTCATCGAGCCAGTCACCGGTACCCAGTGAGGCTGGCCTGCCGAGCGAGACCTGCAGCAAGTTCGGGAACGAGAAGAGCCGGGCCTACCACGGTTATACCACCTCGCCCTGTTTCCCGGAGTACACCCCCGACGAGCTCTACGATCCGGTCACCAAGGCCCGTATCTGGCGTTGGGATTGGTCCAAGACGATCCGCCAGTCCCAGAACAACACTAACTTTGCCAAGGAGATCCGGAACGTGATCGCGCGTGAGGCGGCCGATCCGATCCGTCCCATGCACACCGAGGTCCCGTGTAGCGACTGGCTCTATCTCGACGACGCTATCGATTCTGCCTACACTAACATGCGCAGAGAGAGAGAGAACCTGATCGACCCTACTAAGATGGTCAAGAAGGAAGTCCATCGGGCGCGTAATAAGAAGCGTGGACTGAAGGAAGACAAGTATAAACGTCGCCGAAAGGCTCTTGATGAGTATCGGGCAGACCCTCAAAGCTTTGGCCAAAGACTGCGGGAAGCGAATCTGAGGATGACAGAGAAACCGATTCTTGGAGATGGATTAGTGGGGGAGGAGGAGCAGTCTGGGAGAGGACAGCGATCGGGGGAAACAGAAGATGGGGCAGGGAGAGCAGCAGCAGCAGCAGAAGAAGAAGAACGATGGGATGATGCGTTGGATATTAAGTATATGTCGAGTGAAGATGAGGGACATGTCAACGATTTCGAGAATCCGATCGGGATCGGAACCGAGAAGACTGACAATACGCTCGCCGCATCGGATAAAGTGTTTGCGATCTGTCGCCCCACTTGGAGGTCCGACCAGCTCCACAATCTCTTCTCGGTCCTCGACATCATCAAACAACCCGAACGGGCCTATCGTAGAGTCTTGGGCCCCTATCGCGACACTCGTCCTCCCCTAGGCACTCCCTCCTGGAGTAAGTCTTACTCTTTTTTTTCTCTTGCTTGTCTAACTTTGTACTGATCTTTTTTGTTTGACAATTCTTTGGTTGGTAGTGATCAATCCTGCTTGTGAAGCCTCCAATCCTCTCGGGCCTTCCGCGTCTTCTTCTTCCACCACTACCACCTCTGCTGCTGCTGCTGTTGCTGCTCCTTCTAACTCTCGATCACTTCCCCTTCCTTCTACTTCTACTTCCGCTTCTGCTTCTGCTTCCGATACTGCTCTTGTCAATCATGACGCTTCTTTGACTGCTCAAAAAACTTGACTATCCTGCTTTCTGATCTCTCTCTTTTTTGTAAGAAAAAAAAAAGAAGGCTCTGTCTCTTTTTTTTTTGAAAAAGGAAGCTCTATCTCTTTTTTTTTTTTTTTTAAAAAAAAAAAAAAAAAGGGGAGAGCTTTATCTCTTTTTTTTTTTTTGGTTTACACTACTCCCCTCTTCCCAAATATTCACACACATACACATACACACGACAAATTCATGATGTTGAGGATGATGTGAGGGGTTGGGTTATGATGCCATTCTGCGGGTGTTCTCATGGATGGTCAGAAGAGGTTTTGGGAGAGTCTCATCGGGTCTGATAAAGAGCCTTATTTTGTATCCTTTACGTACACTTTTAAACCATACTTTATCGCGACAATCGGTCAGCTTTGGGTCACTTCCTTTTCATGTTCTCCCCTCCCCACCCCATGAAAAACACAATGAAAATGTATGATGTCTTGGGTACACTCATCTATATATACTTACAACATAACATATCAAAATCTTTGCTCCAAATCTCCACATGTTGAAACTTGTTGACTTCTAGAACACCCCCCTCCCCCCCCCTGACAAAAAAATGTCAGGTTGGTGTTGAACTTCTCAGCCTCTACCCTCATGACGTGTTTTTTTCCCCTTTTTTTGGTGGGAAACGTGTTGTGATTTTTGTGTTCTTCTTCTTCTGTATGGTTCAAGTGATGATGATAGTTGGATTGTGAATTCCTTTCAGTCGGCAAGGTACGTGTACCCCTTGCCGGCTGGAAGGGCTTTACGTTGCCGGCTGGAAGGAAGCCCTTCCAGCCGGCAAGGTACAGCTATTGTGTAAATGATTGTGCTGTGATTCCAAACTTTTTTTTTTTTTTTCCTCCAATCCTTGAAGCCCCGATCCCGTCAGGTAAATTTGCAGGAGATTACCCACCGATTATCATGACTGACTCAGCCCCCCAAAAAAAAATGTGTGACTTTGGCTGATTGGGTGAAATCGGGTTGTCTCCCCGGTACTTTGCACTAGCGGGGTCGGGCTTCAAGGATCGGGGCAAAAAAAAAAAGTCGTGCAAGAAAAAAAAAAAAAAAAAAGTTTGGAATCACAGCGCAATCATTTACACAATAGCTGTACATCCTTGCCAACTGCCAGTCGGCCATTGGCCTTGGGTATCCCTGGGGATACCCGGATATCCGCCAGATTTGGGGGGGAAAATGGCCATCCACACCCCCTGGCGGGGGGTATCCGCCAGCGGATAGCGGGTATCTGCAACGGATACCCTGCCACCATCTCTACTATCAGACCAAGAGTACTGACAGGAAGAACACAAAGCCACTGTACAGTCTCACAGGAGTTAAACTCATCAACAATATTGCTTTGCTCAATCAAATAACAGAGAATAAAGACCCAGCAGATCAAATCCCAAAGGGATCTCTGAGGCAGCGTCTCTCGTCAGGAGGGAAGGCAAACCCCTGAACAGCGCAAAGACATCTACATACATAAAGATAACTAATGGAGACTGACACTACATTGTCCTAATATAGATCAAGCATCTTCCTTTGATCACCTCTTTGTTTTCACATATATTTCCCCATCTTTTCTACTATTGCGAGACAATAGACTTGTATATCGCTCTCAGGTAAACTCATTCATAGTTATTTCTGCACTTGTTCTTTTACATTTTTATTCTTAGTCATTACATTAGAGCTAACATCATGGAAGAAATACAACTCTGAGTTGCTTGCATTCTTTCAACAGTGGGCCAGCTACGCTAACCTTAGCATTAGTGTGGCGTAGCGTAGCAAAAAAACACTACAATTGAGCGTAGCGTTAGCGCTTTTCTTCTTTTCTGCGCTAATGCTACACGCATGGGGCACAAAAAAGCGCTATTGTTTAGTGCATTTGCGCTAATGCTAAGCGCACAGGGCGCAAAGAAGCGCCCACTACACTGCGTTACAGCAGTTTTTTGCCGCTAAAAATGCTGTAGCGTAGCGGCACCAGAGGCACGCTAACACTACATCAAAAAATGGCTTAACACTACACAAAAAAGAGCAGCTGTTGGCGTTGCTACACTAACACTACATGGGCTCGTAGTGTAGTGTAGTATAGCGTAGCGGCCCACCACTATTCTTTCAATTCCACATCACAGTAAGGTTGTCAACTAAGATCTGAAATCAGGTCAAGAAAGAAGATTGAACTCACAATTTGCATGTATAAGAAATCATCCTCCAACAATGCTTATCAAGCTGAGTGAAGAGCACATGTGGCAGTTAAGAGTTATAGCTGGCACTGAGGCTGTTTTTGGAGACTTGCTGATCCCTTCCTGAAAGGAATCAATTGATTTAATCCAAAATGGAAGTGATCAATTGAATACAAAATTAAATCAATTGATCAATCAAATACCAAACGAAATCAATTGATCAATCAAATACAACAAAAGAGTGAAGATCAAATAGTCAGAACAAAGTTGAAGAGAAGGGAATGGGAAATGTAATCTACTCACATAAATCCCACTGGTTGGTTGTATTGTGGATCAATGCCAATTGAGTCTAGGTGCTACTTGGAGTAGTAATAGGATCTTCATTACTTATGGAGTATTTGCTTTCTTTGGTTTTGATTTGGTTTTCCTGTGTTGATAAACAGGGTTGAGGCTGAGTCTGAGAGGATGAGGCAGATTATGGGTGTGGTGAGTTGAGTTTCTTATGCTTGCGGGTGGTCACTGTGATTGGTTGGAGAAGCAATGTGGATTGAACATGGATGTGATGTGACCTGCACACTCCCAAAAACTCCAAGCTCCAATCATATCACCCGCTCCCCAATCCCCTTTCACAAGCTGGTTGTAATGTGAAAGGGGATTGGGGAGCCGGTAGAGGTAGGGACTTGGGCACAATATTTAGGGACAGCCATAGATTTGAGACACAAATAGTGGCTGTGGTGGCTCATATAGAGTTGGTAAATTCCAACTTGAGACTCAATTTACCGCCCACGGTGGAGTTTCTCTTAGGTACAACAGACTTGGGTCATGTTGAGGGCTTATCAGAATCCAGATATTCATTGTGGGGAAAGAATGTCACTGTAAGCCCCCTCCTTTGGGGTCTCACAAAACCTGTTACATAGCTATCACTAGATTCCATAATCCACCTGGTACTTAGTCTCAGCCTGTTCCATCCCTAGCTCAGCAGAGATCCCTGTAGACTGACATATCTCTCTGAGCTAGTTCCCGCTCATTCTTGAAATACAGTCCCTGGTCATAGAATCTGTGTCCTTGCGCCCCTCTTGAGACAACTCAACAGCGAAGGAGATTCCACTCCTTACAGTCACATTAACACTGTACAAGTGAGGTGTATTTTTGTAGGATGTCAACTTGAAGCCCAGTGATGGAAATTGGACAGGTCCTGATTTGATGGACTGTCTGACCTGCAGTGTGGTCACATTGAGCAAACTCACACAATCAGTTAGTACTGAAACCTAAACATGCACTCCAAGCCGCAGTAATTTTGCCTCTGCCTCTAGTTGATTGTAGTCATGTTTTGCTAGTCACACAAATACCTCATGGGTCATAATACATTTTTGCATATGGTGAATAGTATTGGGGCTCACGTCCGAGGTGATCACTGATCAACACCTGATGCACATCATGAGCTCCCTGTGCCCAGTCCCTTGTGCTCCCGCACACCAAGATACAAGCCCGCATTGCGCATATGACAACACAAGGAACTTGATTCAAAGTTTGACAGTACACGACTAGTTCAAGTGATCGACTTCTCGACCAGGATCTGACTTCCCTCCACGACTAGTCGGGACGGGGGTTATGATACCTTGAACCTCTGAGTCGGTTTGAGAGGCTGATTCGATGGGTTAGAGAATGCAGGACATTCATAAGAAGTGCTATGTACCTAACACAGTCTAAAAGGCATTCAAACACAGCTTACATGCCAGAAATGTGGTTTTAATGGATGCAGTCTGTCTCCTAAGTTCGGACATTGGCTCAGAATGAAGGGAAGAAGCAAACCAATGGTCCAATATTGAAGTCCATTCTTACAACCTTTTAGTATTTACAGAGATTTTATAAGGGCTAATTACATATTTTAAATTGGGAGTTCAAGACTGTCCCCACCAAGAAGCTCGCGACCTGCGGCAAATGTGTTTTGTACGAAAGTCGCCCCGCACGAGGCATTGGTCTTCATCGAAGAGCTTTGCTGGAGTTCATTCACGCTTCGAGACAGCTGCGTGACAAGTCACTTGCCACAAGTTCTTTCCTGGACCAAATGATAGATTCCGTAGCGTAGTAAAAAATGTGCCCCCACCGTGCTTGCTAATGTAGTAAGATTTTAAAACTCGTACAGATCTTGTAGAATTTTACCCGTTGTAATCGCTTTCCACACAAGTTTTAGGGTATTCACTGTGCAGACCTCATCAGTCCCTGAAAAGCATTCTCAGTTACCCTCATATAAAGATCTCATTGGTTGTTACCAATCTCAAAAATATCCATTTTCCAGCCGAATATCTGATCAACGCCTTCTTAGCGGAGGCACGCTTGCGATGTTCCTCTACTTGACGCATTTGCTGGTTAGAAATTTTTTTATGTTCTCTTTTGCTTATATCACTATATTGTGGCCAGAGAGTATCACGAATCTAATCGATAGGTGCTTTATGATTTCGCTAGTTTTTTCAACAAGCGTATCAATCTAGCGCTAGAAGAATCGTTGATCCCCGGGGCGAGCTAGATGGATTAAAGCCGCCGTCAAATTCAAACGCAATATCTGCGTCCACTGTTACGATTCCCTCAGGTCCTGCGGCACCGCTCTCCGCACCCAGTACCTTTCGTCGTCACTCAAAACGGCTAGTAAGTGACTATCCCATCATTTTTTTGAATTTAGGGATAGCGCTCACAAACTGTTATTTCAGGTACCGACCGAGGCCGCGACCGAGGCTGCCGCTGAAGCTTCGGAAGGACCACCTACGTGTGCCATCTGCCTTGAAGAGCTTACCCCGCGCCAACCCATGGCCAATCCACCCAAGGGAAAGAAGCTGTTCGGTATCTCGATACCGCTCTTCCGGTCGCGTTCCAGAAAACTACCTCCTGTGCAAGCTGTATCCGGCTGGCCATGTGCACATGTTTTTCACCAAAGCTGCAAGGACGGATGGACTAACCTTGGACACCAGGAATGTCCAAGTTGCCGTATGTTACCTGATGGGTCATTTGCCGGATCACATAGTCTACCGCCTCGAATTCCAAATAACAATTCTGGTATGCTTGGCGGGCAAGCAAATGGTCCTGAGTATGCTGGGCAAGCATACTGGTACGGGCAAGCCAGCGGGCCTGAGTTTCGGGAATCAAGTGGGTATGAATTTGAAGGGCATGCAGACATGCCTGAGCTTTCTGAGCCAGCCTACCCGTCTCACGGCCACAATATCATGAGTGAAGCACAAGGACATGTTGACAGAACTGATTGGCAGTCAATGCCAAACTGGCAACAATTGATACCCATAATGCAATCATTACCTGCTGCCCCTCCAATACCCCCACCATGGTATCAGATGCCTGCGTCTCAGCCACCCTATCACGCACCTCAGTCAATCAACTACTATCCTATGGAAGAGTATCTACAGCCATACTACGGATATGAACCTCAATTTTCACTGTATCAAATGGCTCAAGAATGGCAAAGAAGCTTATCAGACGCTGGTTACTTGGAAATATTTTACTTCTTGCTCTTTACTATTTTCTATGTAGCTTTTAAGGGATAGTTTGACATGTGTAAAATTTCATACATCAAGACACATTTCATAAGGGTCTTCCTTTTTGCACACCAAAGAACTATCCTGAGTACACCAAAAATGTTTGTGTGAATGTAAACTCCAAAAAATCTGTCAGTGTGCTACTATAGCAGAGACAAACTGTCATAGTACACAAACATTATAGAACATAAAAAAAGACATTATTACTCATGAGAGATGTTTTTTACATGAATATTACTGAAAAAAAATTGGAAGATCAAATAATAATGACATTATTTCGGGGGTTGATAAGTGCAAGCCAGCCCCCCCTTGTGCATGCCAATCTGCACTCCACTTGCAGATTGGCGTGCAGGCCCACACGCCAAAGCAGATTGGTGTGCAGGCCTGCACGCCAATCTGCAGCAAGGTTGATTTGCTTGCAGGTCCTAAACCCATATAAATATGGGTTTAGGACTAGGGCTATCCCATAGGACCCAGGCATGGGTCCTATGCATGGGATAGCCTATGTAGTGTTTGAAAGAAAAAAAAAAACATGTCAATCCTTGTAGGACACCGGCCTGTGTCCTACAAGGTCAACAAGGCACACCTTGCCGGCCAGGAGGATTCCCTCCTGGTCAACAAGGTTGTACAGCCTCGCTAGCCAGGAGGGAATCCTCCTGGTTGACAAGGTTGTACAGGGTTGTACAACCTTGTCTATGTCGCACTCCCTTTTTCAGATCAGGCTCCCCCTTTCAAATCAAGCAACAGCTGCTTGAGGGGTGTCACCCACTGATTCTGCAGCACAAGAAGCGGAGCCCTTGCCCCCTAGCCTATATAAAACGAGCTGAAAAGACCTGAGTGTTGACAAGCCCATGGAGGATGATGACTGCGCGGATGAGGCTAGAGAGATAGACAACAAGAAGCTGGTCATTAGTGAAGAGGGTGAGTGGTTTAGCGCGATTGTTAGCGGCCGAGGAGGCGGAAGGACTGAGGTCAACGTTGGGGAGAAGGTTGAAGATGTCCTGGAGGTTGTAGATGATCTGGTGGTTCAGCGGCAGTTCCCCCCCCCCCCCAAGCACACCCTCCAGATACTTGCTGATCTCCCCCAGCCTGGCTTGCAAGGCCCACAGCAAATTCATCCAGCCAGTCACCCGTTGATGTCTTGTAGTAAATGCTTCACCCCAATCTCCTCTTATTCTTCCGCTTTGATCGAGGATGGCACATGCATGAATGTGTTTTGCATTGCCGTGCCATCCTATATGATATTTTTTTTCATCAGATTTGTCAGTAATTTTGTTTGGGTTGAAGATCAAGAGAGAGAAAAAAAGACAAATGTCTTTGATTTCCTCAATGGCAGAGGTTGTACAACCTCGTCGACCAAATACCCCTGGGCAGAGAGGTTGTAAAACCTTGCTGACCAAATCCTCCTGGTCAACAAGGTTGTACAGCCTTGCTGGCCAGGATTCCCTCCCCCTGGTCAAAGAGGTTGTACAGCCTTGCCAGCCAGGAGGATTCACTCCTGGTCAACAAGGCTGTGCAACCTTGTAGACCAAATCCCAGGCAAGGCTGTAAAACCTTGTCAACCAGGAGGAGGGAATCCTGGCCAGACAAGGTTGTACCGTCAACCAGGAGGATTCCCTCCTGGCCGGTGAGGTTGTACAACCTTGTCACCTGTCAGCCTTTGGGTAACTAACCTGAGTTTTTAGTGGTAGGAAGGTTGTTACTATGAGTTGAATGAGTGTTTTGAGCATGGTGAGTAGTAGGTAGTGGGTGTTAGTACCAGTCCTGTAAAGAGGAGGTGTCACTCTATCAGTATGGTATTTACTGAGAGGCTTGCTATCAACAGCGCATCCGGATCAACACTTGGTACTAATAGGCATTCAGGGTACTAGGACTCACCTGGGATTGATTTGGTTATTCCCAAAAGGGAATGGGCTAACAATACTTATTAAGCCTTGACAAAATTAGTTGAAGATTAACAGGTATTGTTGATGGGAATATTCAGCAAGGCTATGAATATTGTGGATAAGTTGAGTAAGTTGCTGAAGCTTAAGAACAATAAATGTAGACTAGATTTATGTCAGTTACGTCAAGGATGAAACAGATGCGATGCGTGCATCGGCATCACATTGTATTGTGCATTTATCACATTGCATCGGTGTGAGCGATGCGGGGCACCGCATCGGGAAAACCAATGTGGAGAATTGGCATTGCATTGATTTCCCAATGCGATGCCCGATATTTTGCAGGCGATGCCGATGTTATCGACAGGCATCGTCTGAAACTTGGTTGTGACTCCAGTACGCAAGTCACTCCGAGTCCAACTTCAAGCGCCAGGTTCAATCCATTCCTGACTTGAACACAACAGCAATTATTTGGACTTGTCGCTCGGACTTGCCACTGGAATCGGACTTCAGACACTCGATTCCTGAACTTGATTGGAGTGGATTAGACCGCTTGGAACAGTACTCCCCTCAATGGTTGTTGACTAGGGCTGTTATCAATTGGAGTGGACCAACAGGCTAGCCTGAGGAAGCTCAACCGCCGTGTTCTTATCGTTGTTTGAATCGCAGGTACCGATCCGATTGGAATCGAGCGAAAACTCTTTGGACCTCTCCCTTCACCGGGTCCGATATCGAGTCGTCGGCTCGTCCGAACACCCAAAAACACCGGACCTTGAATCCCATCACTGCTACCCCCCTACCAGTACCATCACCAGCCTGGACCAATACCCCCCTACCAGTACCATCACCAGCCTGGCCAGTAAGTAAGACTGCTGAAGAAACTATGAGATTTTGATCCGGGAGAGAAAAAGCCTCAAGAAAAAACTTCTGAGGAAAAAAAACAAATGGTCTGAGAGCCCAAAAAAGGGCTAAATGCTGCTAGCTTGCGTGGAGGAAAAGCTCACACGCTACAAGGAGTTGTATCCTGTAGAGACTCCAGGGATCAGTGCGCAGAAGAACAGATGCTTTCAATTTCTAACTCAGGTGCATGATTATTTATCTACATACACAAGTGGGCTGAGATGTGGGACAGAAGGTGACAGAAGCATATTCATCTGAAGCAGGAAAGAAATGAGTGACAGATGTGGAAAGGAGTGACAAGGATGTGAAAGGGAGAGAAAGGAAAGACACCACGACTGCAGAATTCCAACAACTGCCACAACCTTAATCATCATCATGAAAGAAATAAAGAACAAAAATATTACCTATTTCTTTCACTCTTCTTCTTCCTTTTCTTCTACTTTTATTTGTATCCCTCTTCTCTTAAGAAATACATATAAAAGTGCCCCCCATATCTTGTGTCCTGCTGTCACTATAGAGACCCAGGCTCACAATTTGCTACACAGTCCATTTTTGAATGTGAGTCTTCTCTTTTATACTCTCAAAGTCCCCAAGGAATTTCTATTCTTTGCTTGTTTGCTCTATTTTAATTTTTTTCTTTCTAATTTGTGTGCATAAACAGAACATTGGCGTGCTGTCACCACTGGTGATCTAATTGGACGGCTGGTGATTTTCTTGGGGGCCTTGTGATTTTGTGGGAACACTTGCTCGTGATCTAATTGGACGGCTCATTTTCTTGGACGGCTTGCGATTTCGTGGGAACACTCGCTCGTGATCTAATTGGACGGCTTTTGATTTTCTTGGGGGCTTGTGATTCCTTGCCACTTGGGACATCTCTCAGACTCAGAATTACCCCCCAAAGCATCCCCTCCATCTAAATTTTGCCTCTTTCTCTTATCTTTTGATTGATCATGTCCACTTCTTCTGTTCCTCAGACCCCCTCCAGAGGGCATTCTCGCAAGTCAAATAAGCTCAACACTCCAGCCCAACATTCTACCCGCATTACCACCCCAGTCCAGAATCCAAACCTTGTTCAAACTAGCGGTGACTTGCGAAAATCTGTTCCTCAGGCTCCAACTTCAGCCCACCGCTGAGGATTCCCAACTAAAAATTATTGAAGGAGACCTCAGCTCTTGTAACATATTTGACAGCCTCCGCAAACAGTGATGCCCAGCAGATGCCAATCATAATAGCCTTGACAAAGTACTGCCGATCCCCAGGGCAGCCCACACCTTGTGGAACATCTCCCAGGCAATCTTTCTTGCATATTGGGGTAACAAGAAGTTTGCCCACAACACAGGGGCATGGCAAGCCCTTCACGCCCTTGGAATCCAGACAAACAAGCCGGTCACAAAAAAGGACTTCAACATGATGCTATGTCATGTAGAAAAGATCCACAAGGCCACACTATTGTACTTTGTTTTGTCAGTACCTCCTGCCGGTATGCATCTGGTGAAGAATCTGATGCTAACTGATGTGGTTTGCTTGAACTGTCCTGTAGGCTAATTGCCAACCGCCCTCAGGAGCCCTTGTCCGAGGACTTACTTGAATTGTCCAGTGAGACAATTGACAATTGGGTTGAGATCACATACAATCGGTTCTGTTCACAAGGGGCTTTCCCGGGCGTTCTGGCACTGGCCTCACCAGCACATATGAACCTGCTTTTGAGGGTTCGGGCCCAAAAATCATAGAGGCCAACCGGGCAATGAAAGCTGGCAATTAAGGACGCCTCATGTATATGTGGGAGCAATGGGCCATTATGACCCAGGGGCTTCGAAAAATGCCACACTACTCAAAACATCTACCTAAGCTTATTGTCCAGCTGAAGTACATACTTCCAACCTTGCTTGCTGAGTTGGTATTGAATAGCCTCCTGATCTCGCCATCTGCAAAGGCAGGACACTTTGTGGCGACCAATCAGTACCTTGAGGTCCTGAACTATTGGTTAAAATACTTCTTCAATCATTCACCAATTGGCACTCAGATTGACCGCCTCAAAGATGTCTTCTCCAGCTCAATTGGCATAGTAGGGAAATTTTTCCTCACAGTTCGCTGTGCCATTGGAAAAAATTTGACTGACTGTATTGCTTGTCCTCCTGAATACTTGCCCCAGCTGCGATACCTCCTCCAACTACTCAAGATTGAATCAGGCGCCAAGGTAATCCAGCAAAGTCATAAAAACCGACTCACTTTAGCCTCCCTAAACAATTTCAGACGGATGACCGATGGCATTGGGATGGGACAAGCCCCTACTCTAGGAGAAGAACCCATTCCCATTGACGATTGTTACCTTAAGGGAATCAAGAAGCTGCAGCATGAATTCACCCAGACGGGGCTGCACCAACTCAGGCCTTACTCCCCTGGTATCATGATGATGCAAGAGGTGCATGAATTACGGTCAAGGAGCATGGACATGGGCAAATCAGGAGAGCTTGATGCAGATCACATCACCGACAACGGCTAGCAAGGGTAATGAGGAAAACAAACAAGCTAATGAAGAAGATTGATTACACATTAAGGGGTCTGATTATGCAGGTGAGTCCCCTTGAGGAGTAATCTGCATGTGCCCGCTTGCCAAGCTATCTCTCATGGCTTCAATATCATCAGCAATCTGACCCTTCCGCAATAATCTTGCAGTATGAGCCTGACCACACATGACCCGTTTGACGTGTGGCGACTTCAACTTCGCTTCTAACTCCTTGCGGCGGCGCCGGATCCTGTCAGCCTCTGGGTAACTAACCTGAGTGTTTAGTAGTAAAAGGTTGTTACTATGAGTTGACTGAAGTGTTTGAGCGTGGTGAGTGTTAGGTAGTGGGTTATTAATACCAGTCCTGTAAAGAGGAGGTTTCACTCTATCAGTATGGTCTTTACTGAGAGGCTTTCTATCAACAGCGCATCCGAATCAATACAAGGTATTAATAGGCATCCAGGGTACTAAGACTCACCTGGGATTGATTTGGTTATTCCCAAAAGGGAATGGGCTAACAATACTTATTAAGCTTTAACAAAATTAGTTGAAGATTAACAGGTATTGTTGATGAGAATATTCAGCAAGTCTATGAATACTGTGAATAAGTTGAGTAAGAGTACTGAAGCTTAAGAACAATAAATGTAGACTATATTTATGTTAGTTACGTGTACTGTATCAATATAAATGTTAACTGGTTTAACTGGTGTCTGAATATTCTGGGGATTAATCAGTGAAAGAGGCACGGATTATAAGTTCCAGAATATTGAAGGAGGGAAAGAATGAGCGCTCAGAATCAAGGGAGCTTTGGCCAGGAGAATGAGCACATCAATTGAGTGACTGATCATTATTTGTCATGATCTGTAAGTGACATCATAATTGTGTACTAGTTGATCAATGTACTAGTTGCTATTGATGCGTGTCCTTAACAGATCCTCTAATAATGTAGTCATAATTCTGATCAGTGCATGTATTGAATGTATTAATTCTATTAACACTTAATACTTACTATTTAATACATGTACATATTCATTGGGACTTAGTCAAACGACTCCCAAAATTTGGAGTTCCGACTCCCAAATTTTGGGGATGTCCTGAGGACTGTCTGCGGACAGTCCTCCGGACGTCAGGCCCCCTAATTTTTTTTCTCCCCGTTTTTTGGGAGTCGGACCTCCAACTGCTGACTTGGAGGAGCATTGGGGACTGGATTGAAATTTGCTTGGTTGGGCCCAGTCTTGGTTTCCAGGGGGGGCCTACTTACTTCGACTCTGCTGCGGGGGGAGGGATGTTTGGGAGAGAAAGTTTCCCAAGAAGAAGAAAGTCGAAGACGATCATGGACTCGCCAATACTACAACCACTCAAACCAGCCGGGAAACGACGGAGGCGAATCAACCAAGCGAACCAGGACACCATCAGATGCTTCATGTAAGCTATCACTCATCTCCCCCCCTGAAGAATACTCTCAATGAACATCTATTGACGAGTTGGAATTCAAGTTGTCAAGAAAAGTTTGCGAAATATACTTGCCCGAGTTGTAACCTCAGGTACTGCAGTGTTGACTGCTTCAAATCCCAAGTAAGCTATCTCCCAGACAATAATCTCCTTATTTCAACAATCTTGGGAACTGACCAATTCCTACGATTCTAGTCCCACTCAGCCTGTTCCGAATCTTTTTACAAAAACGCATTGTTGGAAGATTTTCAGCTTGAAGATGGATCGTCCAACGGGTCGGCCCTCAATCTTCTCAGGCAACGGCGATGCTCGAGATCTTGAGGAAAATCGAATCCGGCCCAACCGGTCTCGGACGAGGATGAGGATAGCACTGATGCTGGATCTGTCGAGCTCACTGAAGAACAACTGAGTTCAGTAAGAAGAGCTTCATCATCCCCAGCATACGACCATCCATCCTGGATTATGC